CGGGCCCGCCCCGCCCGGTGCTCCGCGCTCCGCCTAGCGCTTCCTCGGGTGAAATAGAATGGCTTTTTCTATTTTATCTGTCACGAAATCGTCCTTTTTCTACATCTGTGAAACCATGGGAGCGGCTGTTTTTCGCCTGTTGATGTCTTGTCGCGAAAAGAGTTGGACTTGAGCAACATGGGGACAAGAAATCCCGAGTCCAGGAAACGGATCTCGAGAACGCAAAAGTTTTGTTTTTCTTTCTAAATTAGACGTTCTTCTTGAATTTAACGTGATGGAGAAAACTCAGCATCAATCTTCAGAGTGTCCTTTTTACCTTAGATAAGAAAGCAAACAGTTAGAGTCTCATTCTTCAAAACAAAATTGTTTCAAAGAGAGTGAGGTAGCACAGCTGTGCTGCCACTTCTCCTACTGGAGTTTATACCTCTGGCTACTGTGAAACACTGAGATTTAATTCTTTTCCAGATGTTCCACACTTCTATACATGAAGTATGAGACACCACATACTTTATTCCCCTCTTTGAAACACTTTCCTGTTAAAGTAGCAAAAGGCTCTGAAATATCAGTGGAATAATTTGGGGGCTGAACACCAAAGATTAAAAAGTTTGCGTTGGACCACAGAGCTTCATGTAAGTCTCTGGTGCACAGAAACAGATCACACTCTAAACGGAGCACACAGTGCTAAATCTGTAACATTCGTTCATGTGATTCATTGACATGGAAAAAGAAATGGACAGATCTTGAGTCCACAAGAGATATCAGCGCACCATTCTATTCATATTTTGATCTAAAGCTGGAAAGAAAAAACACAATTTTTGCTCACTGCCCTTTTTCTGTGTTACAGATCATGCCACAGCAGTTTCTGTACATAAAAGCTTTGGCTGCAGCACAAAGTGAATCAAAGCTCTTTATGCAGGTTGTGGTCACTCCCCATTAGCATACATACGTTCTTACCAGCTACAACTTTGGGTATAGTTTTGTGTCTCTGTAAGGAGTTCCCAATTCCTTTACCTTGAAATTTAATGGCCATCAATAGTTTAGCAGGGCCAGATTGCTGCATTTATTTATACCTCACATAAACAAAATGCACTTGAATTGTTTAGGTATGATGCTGAGCAATTGTGATCAACTTCCCTTTTACAACAAGATAAAAAATCTGTGAGTGGAAAAATACCATCTTGCTCCTCTATTTCTTTCCGCTAAAGAACAGTAAAATAAACATCTTGAAGATTTTGGAAGACTCTTCATCTTCAATTAATTCACAAAACCTGATTCAAAAAAACCTCATACAGGCACTTTGACAATTTCTTGCATAATTATGGTAAAAAGGACTTTAGGAAAATAAACACATTTTTCTTGCATTTATGTTTTCTTTCTAACTCCTCCTTGCCATTGAGGTCCCCTAGGTGAGGAATTATGATGTTATGATGAGGCAGAGAGTGCAGTAAGATGGAAAATTCAGCAAATCTGGATCTGGGCTTTCAAACCATGTTGGAAGTGGGATGGTTTATAGAGTAAGGTTCACTGGAAATTTTATAAAGCCAAGAGAACTTGACTGTATGAAATTTTCTCCATGTAGTAGTAGGGAGCATAAAGAATTGAATAGTGAAATTGTCGATGTCCCCTAAAGTTTCCTGCAATCAGGTGGATGAATGTGTGTCTGCTCTGTCCCATCTAGGTCTGGTAGAATCCTTGATGTCCCTTAAAAACTAAATGTGCTACAGTGTCTGAGCAGGTTTTGTACTCACCAACTCTGCAATCACCAATGCAATACCTGTGTTGGGACAGAAGCCTTTCTGCCTCCCCCATTCTCTGCAAATCTTATTTTACAAGCGTAATAATGCATCACAATAGCACACTTCCCTCCAGCCTGTAATGTAATATTCCCAAGACTGTTTTCCTTTACACACACATCTGGCACACAGCTGTATGCCTAAATCCTGTATGGTGGTGCCAACCACAACACCAGCCATCTCCAGAGGAAAAGCTTCTCAGTATGTGCCACAGCAACACTGCCACACATCGTGGTAGTCCTCATCTCGCTCCACTTTTGTCTCCACCATTCTCTATCAAATGTTAAATTGAGCAACTTGAGGCTAAATTGTGTAATTGTTTTAGGGGCTCCTACTTGATTTTCCTCTTCTGTTTTTATTCCAATATTCCCTTTCCTTATTTGTACAAAGATTATATAATCTCATTACCATTTTATATACAAGCAGTCAAGTAATTTTTATTAGGGGAAGGATGCAGAAGTGTAAGAGAATAATCAAGCCCTACAAGGAGATAGGAATACAGCATCACCTCATACAGTAGTAAATACACAAAGACTGTGGGTCACCCTCCTCCTCCAAAACCTGCTGTTTCTTTTGTGATCAGCAGCACAAAAAACCTGAAGTTGTGCGCCAGAGATCATTACTCCAGTCATGGTCAAACTTAATTAAGATAGGGGTAGCAGCACATATTGCCCTGCAATGCAGACATGAAAAAGAACAGCTAGGAAGGATCCTTGCTGGGAGAGATTCTCCCTCCCTCTCATGCATTTACCATCACAATTACAGCCAGCCTTGCTGCCTCACCCTAGAAGAGGTGAAATCAGGAACAGCAGGATCTGAGTGGCATTCCAGGCTGTCTGGTCTCTGCATGCACTGTCAGTATGGACAGAGATCTCTGCTAGAGCAGCAAGAATCTGCCAGAAAATCCTACAAAACTATTTATTTTTTGCAGGTACTATCAATGTGAGCCAGCTTGGACTGCAAGAGATCAGATCTGAAAGCCCCTTAGACTCCTTCCCAGACAGCATGGAAAGTATAGATTATTTTAACCAGTAACAAATGCCTATTAACTTGTAAAAATATATAGTAATCCAAACCAAACTTAGTGCCTGCTAGCCAACTAAAAAAATTGCAAAATCGGGGTAGCTTTCCACTTATTGCATGTTCTTTTCAATCATTGCATGTCCCTTTTGTGATATTTGGCTCTAGGACACAAAGCCAAGTGGCCACCATAGATGTCATTAAAAGCCCTAGGAAAAGGACCTTACAAAGGCCCAGTGTACTCATACTGAGGATAATTCTTCAATTCTTCAACTCTTTTTCCTATTCCTCCCCTTCCTTATGACTTTTCCACATGAACACCTAACTGCACTGCATTTCACATTGCCATGGTTTTCCCAAACATGTAAAGCCCATCTCTGTTTCGGAGATATGAGAACTGAGAGTCATTCACAATTCTCAAAAATACAGTTGCTCAGATCCTCCAATTTTATTCTGATTCACGTTTTCTACCCTTCTCCTGCTGAGGCCCAGCTATAGATGTTAATTCTCAACATTTCCTGTCAGCAAAAAAAAAAAAAAAATAAAAAACCCCCAAAACCAAAACCTGTTCAAAATGTAGTGAATTTGTCTGCTTATTTTAACTTTTAATTTGCCACAAACCTGAGCTCCCTGCCATACACACACATGGGCAAGGCCAAGAATTCAGGTGCAGGTGGGATCAGGATGAGGCCTGGAGAGGGGCTCTGGGCTCAGCCCCAGCTCTGGGCATTGGATGCTCCCTGGGGCAGTGGGACCATGGCCAGGCAGGGCTGTGGGGAGCTTGAGCCTGGCCCTATTTCTGTGTTGTTGGCACAGGGGCTGATGTCTCCAGGGGGACTGGAATGGCCTCCTGGGACCAGAACAGGGTTGGGGAGCCCCAGGAGATGCTGGGCAGGGATGGCAGGGCTGGTGGTGCCCTGACAGTGCCCTCCTTGGGCAAGCAGGGACTGTAAAAGGCTCTCAGAGCCACTGGTTCAGCAGCTGTCTAGATCCAGACAACAGGGAGCACTTTTGGCCAAGTTGCATGCAGATGTTTGATTTCAGTCCTAGTGGAGACAGAAGCAGATTTCAGTTATAACAAAACTCTACTGCCACTTGCACTTATTGACACTGGATGTACTCACCAAGTTTAGGTTTAGGATGGCCAGGAACAACAGTTCCTGCACCTCACTTTGGTAATTCCCAACTCTTCTGCCATCAAACACATAAAAATGTGGGAATGGCTTGGCTTACCTTTTGTAGGGCCCAGAGCAGTCAGTTGCATCTGAAACACCCTTGCACTTTCATTTCAGCACCCTCACAAGGAAACATCTCAAGAGCAGCCAGCTTCAGTTTCCAAAACATCCTTCTAAAATAATAGCATTTCCATCCCATGCAGAAGTCACAAAACCCAAAGGGGACAGCAGGAAGAGCAGCTTGTTCCACCTTTCAGCTGCTGTCTGGAGAAAATCCTGACCCACGGTTTTGGTTTGGGTGGCAATGTACAGGTCTCCAACTCCTGGTGGGGACTCACATCTTTTCCCATCCCACTCTGAACCATGACATTCACATCCCTTAGGCACTTTTAATTCCTCTGAGGCAGCTGGTCTTAAACTGCTGGCTGACTGCAGCTCTTGGGGTTCACTGGCTCCCCTTTGGTGCCCACCCTGGTCAGGCAGAGAGCAATCACCTGCAACTCCTCCACTTTCTGCAGAGAAGCCAGGAAGATGAGCTACCATCTCCTAAAAACAAGCTCATAATGGCTCAGAAGAGGTGGATGGGAACCCTATGGGAACCCTAGAGGAAGAAGATGTTACCCCTCTCCTGCCCCTGTGTTGCTGGAGGATCGAAGATGATGTTCCCAGCACTTTTCTAGAGGACACTGGGATTCAGAGTCAGCAAAGGAAAGGAACAGTTTGGCACAGATGTCCAGAAGCTGAAATGCTGCCCTGAGCCAAGAGCAAAAATAGCAGCTGGTATCACTGCACCTGTTAAGACAGGAGAAATGCATGAATTTGGGCAAGCAGGCAAATTCAGAGAAGAGC